ATATTTAGGTGGTTTTCTTAACTTGCTGTAGTTACACTCAAATATTAGAACTGCAAACATCATTAGTATGTATGTAGTCACTTTAGTCACCTACTCACACTAATTGCAACCGCAACATTGCCGTTATGAAATGTCATAACTCAAGTCATCATAAAATAATCGCCAATATTTGATAGAGTAATTTGAAAACATAGTAATACTAAAAACTTTCAATTTAAGCTTTGCTCAACAATTCTACATTTTGTAACGCTTAAATTGATAGATCAAATGTCAAAATATTTGTAATCGCCCGTAAAGGATAAAAGTGAGTGTGATTGTGTCACCAGAAAGAGGTCGGATAAGATAAGGTAGGGTCGTGAACTTTCTGAATAGGTATAAGAGACCGTAGCTCTTTAATTCAATTGATTTCGATTGCCACACGGTGCGCAAACGCAGCTGCAGTGAACTATGCATCGACGAGGAGCGGTCAGATAGATACAACCGGTTAAATTGGTTCACATCTGACGTTTACCTACATACTGCACATTTTGTATTAGTTTATTGGAACGTTTGCTAAGTCCTTCTATGGGAAGCTCATTAAGTAGCTTTACCTACTAGTTTTAGAACTAGTAGGTAAAGCTACTTAATGAGCTAGTTAGATAGTTATATGTTGCCAAAATGGATTTAACAGGATTTAACTACTTAACAAACAATCTAGCTTTCCCCTCTACATATTTACTATGATATTTATACATAGGTAAATGTAGATCTAATCGGAAAGTTGTTTCGGTTCAGATCTACTTTCAGCGTGAACTTCTACAAATTTGTTATTATACAAGCATACCTATTATATAATAACGGGGTAAATATTGTGTGTATGTAGTAAACTGTAGGACCAATGTAAATGTGAGCATTAGGTCAATGGAACGCGGAACGATAAAGTGTGTTAATAGATACAGACAACGTTCTGTTGCAAATTTGTCCATTTACAAATCTAATGGATACGATTGAATATTCATTCGCGAATTATAATCGCACCTCCGTTTATTGCTCTTAGCACGAAAGGAAGCTGCAAGATATATGATGTTGCCTGATTGTGTAGTGTGAACAACATTAATGGCTCCTTTTAAAATATCGATAGGTTATTTGAAATCGTCACCTGTTGGACAGACATCGTAAAGTTTTCGCATAGATATCTTAATTAAAATAATGGGGCTATTATTTTTATTCTATTATGAAACCTAACCTTATATTTGCCAAGATCTTAAGATTTTGTTAAAGTACAGAATACATGACATCTTAATGCAAATTTTAACATTTTCAGCATTTCGATTGAGTTCTCATATCTTTGAAAGAGCCCTTGAAGTAACGGGCGAATGCTAGACACTAGTCGTATCCTCGATAGTGTTTCACGGATATTGCGCCATTACACCATGGTCAGAGTGACCATTATTATATGCACTTTCACTTACACCATAAAATATTATTGCGAGACTTATTTGTCAATGGTACACCATAGTTTACTATACCATAAATGTATGTACTCTGTGGACAATATGGTATCCCATACATACTGATTGGCTTAACGACCACCACTCGTTTCGTGATCAATGTACTTGAGAAGATTGACATTTTTATTCATCTGTATGTTATTGTGAAACCAGAAAATACATTTTCATAACGATACTAGATTGTGTTCGACATATCATGCTTATAGTATTTTAGTATCTACTTATATCACTCAGTAATTTATCTAAGAGGTATACAGGTACTTATTTCATCCTTCTAAGGCAGATATTTACTGTTGACCTGCAATGTAATGTAGGGTACATATAACTTTAACTAGCAAATGGCTTTACTGTTATGTGTGCTGTTCTGTATAAGCTCGGCCAGTTACAGCTTCTAGAAACATTATCTATGGATACTTTATATACAAGAGAATTAAATGTACTATAACAGATCCATAATCTGTCAATTTGTTATGGCTGGTCATAAAGAGAAAACGTTATGTTTGATTGTTATTACGCTCGTGTACGTGAATACTTGAATACCAAAACGTAGGTGTACACTGACAATGACAATACATTGTCTTCCTCTCATTACTCTTGAAAAGAAAGCGCCAAATATTAGGCAATAAATAATATAAGAAAAACTTATGTATCTCTATCTAATAAAAATAATTTATGCAAGTTTTGGAAGGAAATAGAATATTTTAAAACACTATGGAATCCTAGACGTTTAATTGACCAATATTTGCATTTTAGAATGTTAGGTGTCCGTGTTATTTAAATAGGTATTTAGAAAATACAAAAACAAGTGATTTTATTGTACGATGTTTGTGGAAAAATATTTGCCTAAAATATGCGTATTGCGTAGGTATGTCTTTACAAAGATAGGACCAAAAATAAAGTTGTATCTTTAACAAAGTAAATAAGAATAGGTAATGAGGAGTCCGCACCAAAACAAACATGATGTGTTATCTGTGCTTGATGAACGATAAGTCATTCTATCGAGGCCGCAATATTAAAGTTGTCGTTAAATTAGTGTCTGTTACGTGCTTCTGTATCGGTCAATAGGTTGATGTTACGAAGGCGATCAAACGAGAGAATTATTTAAAATAGACACGGAAGCAAAGTTTATTTTCGTATACGGACATTCTGGAAGAGATGAAAACACCAATCGTTAAGAACCTGAATGTGGGTGAACGGCTAATAGTGATTGACGAGCCATATATTTAAGCCGTTTCGATTAGTATACTATTTTAATCCTTGGTTATCTATATGTGAGTGGAATGTTTGTAGTGCAGTGTCAACAGTACAGTGTGAAAGGAATAGGTAATGCTGTATCCCTCTTAAACCGTTTGGTAAAAGAGAGAACACAATATACGATTTAGCTGAAGTTATTTACCCTTTTGTATGAAAGCATTTTATAAGGAGATGTTATTGACAAGACGAAAAACATCGAAAGCAAACTTATCTAACAGTTGTATACATCCATTTCCCTGAGGAAATCAAACTTGCAAAGAAACTGTCTATTTGTGGACGCACGCAATCCTTTGGCTTTTACTAGTTTAACAGGTTTTCGATTTCTCCCTTAGATTACATCTGATATGGTACGTGGTTAATGGACACTTTATCGAATTTTTCGACGTAAATAAGTGGAGTTATGACTGGTCCTTTAAGCGAAATGCAAATAATTGGAGAAAGTGTATTGTTTAATACGTTTTACTACCTATAAAAGGTTACTGATTTATTTGTTATCTGACTTTGGAGGAGTTGATTATTATTATGATAATTTGAGCACGGAACAGCTGCGTGTACATTTCGTAGCCTTAAACAAATTACGTTGGTTATTGGATTCAGTCTAGTCAGATTTATGCAGTCGTAAATTAAACGAACAATGGAAAACGCATTGGCAGTTACTAGTGATGATGATTACAACCCATATGAAATGAAAGCTGCGCTTTGACATGCGCAGTGCGCGACCTCTGCGGGCTGTGCGCACTTTCTACACGATAGCGCAGATTACGCGCGTTTTTGCAACCGATTCGCGATAAATCGCGCGATTCACTTGTCTTCATTAAAGATAACGAGACTACGTTTTATAGCCGGAAGCGTGATCTGGCTTTCCTGCGTTATTGGTTAGAGTTATTAAGCTTAATTTACGAAAATATACTTTTATGGTTAACCCATAGCCAACTAACGCGGTAGCCTCACTTTGCAGTTCTTATGTAACTACCTACATAATTATTAAGTACTTATCATGGATTATTTATTTTAGAATAAATTAGTTTAGTGACATTTATAGACGAACACAAACATTTAATTAAACATTTTACTAATAATATGTGGAGGTAGAAGGTAGTATTACATCAAAGTGTCGTGTTTTATTTTTATCGGACAGACACAAATCAACTTTCTTAGCGAAACTTGTAATATAATTAAGTCCTTAAGCAATCAGACCCTCGACTTGAATCATTATCCCAACAACTTTCATAGAAGGCAGGCAGAACAGGTAGTTAAAGTAGTTTCCTTTACATTCGTGGCGCGTATCGGTCACAGTCACAATGCACGAGTATGCGTGTGCGCAAGAAAGTGGTCGCGCAGGTGTCGCATGCGTTAACACTGCACTTGATTGTTAAAGTAATTACGTCAGGGTTTATGGGGAAAGATAAGCATTTCACGCCATTTGGTTTTACGGCTTAGCTACATATGTATTAGCAGACTAACGAGCATTAGGCTTGATTAATGAGATGCACATCTCATTTAAGTTAACACATGTTTCAATTTAATGATGAATGAATTTTGTTGCATAAAATATGTTGAATCATAACAGTCTTTACTTTTGTTTTACTGATAGTCGGTTAAAAGATATAGGTCAAGATTAATACCACAGATTTTATTTAGATACCTAAATTGTAAGTTGAATTAACATTTGTTGTCTAATCAAAATACCTGCCTATTTAAAATAAAAGATTATTTAATTGGACGTAACCCTAAAAAGCCTTGGATAAAACATAGGAATAACTCCATATAAAGTCTTTTAGGGTACTCAATTACATAATATATAAGAAAAATAATATTATTATTAAATGCCACAAGTCCTTCAAGGTAAAATTTGTTAGTAATTCGTAAAGATTAGAGAAGATTAAAGAAACAACATAATAAAACTCAGTCCTAAATATAATAAGTAGGTACTTAAATAAGTAGGTGATACCTAGCTTCACACCAAAAATATCTATTACTCAAGTTATTTGGTGGGTTTAAAAATTTTGCTTTATAGGTTTGTGTAGGAGTCTTTTACCTCTTTAACGTTTTTGCCGCATTGTATTTGAAATTACCACTTTTGGGGAGTACTACACCTACACATCAATATTTTACACGACAACAAACTTGCTGCGTTATTACTTATTAAGTTGCTGCGACATGTGTCGATCACCAAGCATGATTATGAGTCCCGATCGTGGCTCGAATCTAGTCGAACATCCTTAGATACATGAGTAAGCTGTGAATATTACTGACCTGATGGTTGGTCGCTGGTATGACTGCACTCTGCGGTGGTACTGACTGTACAGGCCGCGCCGGCTTCGCTGCTGCCCTTTGAAGAGTAGCTCGCTTGACGGATACCATCAGCCACACATCTTCTACTCTTTGTGCCACCTAAGGACAATATTATTGGTATTAGAATGTTCTGTTACTTAAGAGTGATGTGATGGAAGCTAAAGAAGATTGTAAGGAGGATTGTAAGCAATCGGCGTCGCCCATGGACACCTGGAATACCAGAGGCGTTACAAGTGCGTTACCGGCCTTTTGGGGATTAGGAGTTTGAGGATCGTTGGGGATTCAGGAATTGAGGAGATTGGGGAAGGGGAGGGTAACTGGCCTCCGGTAACCTCACTCACACGACGAAACACAACGCAAGCGTTACTTCACGTCGGTTTTCTGTGAGGCCGTGGTATCACTCCGGTCGAGCCGGCCCATTCGTGCCGAAGCATGTCTCTCCCACACTTAAAAATGTGTTCCCACACTAATTTAGCCTGTCGACATTGGTTTGTCTAAAATACTAAGTATTAAATATTTTATTATACCAAGCTGGACAAAACGGAGAATCCACCTTTTTACCCGAATACGGCAAAGTAAAAGGAGGGTTATTCATAATAATCCTCGTCTAAAACACTTTAATTTGTGTTAAACGTTACGGTACGACATGTTAACTATAATTTTATTTAAAGTAGGTATATTGGTCAATGAGACATCTACTAGACAACGCAACAAATCCCAAGGTGTCAACCTACACAGATATTTTTGTTCGTGCTCACCTTTCTAAGTAGTTGTTATTGGTACGCATATTCTTGAGCAAATATAAACAACATCTAGTTTTGTTCCAGCGGTTTCGGCCGCGATATGTGGTTGAAAATTAACCTAAGTTTTTATAATAACTATCGTGAGACATAATCAAATTAACTAAAAATCGAGGGTTTTTTTTAAGGGGGGATAATCATCGAATGACTGCTCCCGCCTGGGTGAGGCGGAAGGGAGTGTCAGACTCTTACTGACTAAAAACCACCCCGTTCCTTCTCCTGCACGTCGAGCCGGAGCCCCGGTTACCCGTTAGGTTCTCCGCGACAAAATCGAGGGTTAACAGCCTATTGTACTACAGTACGCTGCGCAACATCGCGGCGACCGTGCACGCTGCTCATAAGGAAAACCCCTCTTTTTTTTTAATGGGGGAAAATCATCGAATGACTGCTCCCGCCTGGGTGAGGCGGAAGGGAGTGTCCGAAACTAGTAGAGCTTTTCTCAGTATATTCACTTGAGGAACCCGTGATTTTTAATTAAAATAACCTAAGTATTTGTTACCCTCAATGGTCCATGAGAGTCCAATTGCGTGTGCAACTGATGAAGCTATGCAGCTATGCTATAAGCTATGAAGCTAAATTTTTCTCTTTTTAACTAGCTATTTAATTATTATTCATTAAAGTTTATAGGATTGTTTACCTGGGTGACTAAAGCCCTGGTCTCCTGCGTGGCAGACTGCATCAGCATGTCCCGGAACTGGTCAGGAGCAGTCAATCCGAAACTGGCAGCGTCTTCCAATAATTTGTCCACTGCTATTAATCCTCCTTCGCCGGCTAAGATTTCTACACCTGTTGTGCACCATTCGTTTGCCTGTTAATAAAAAATATGTTTTGTTATAGATACAATGGTAAAAAATAGTGGTCGGGAATTATCATTAGATTGTTTAATGTGGTCCCAGACTACGTGCTATTACAAAGATACTTTCTGAAAACGCAAATAACCCAAGTTATACTTGACCCAACCCGGGAGTCGTGCCCGAGCGTCCTTGTTCAGCAGTTGCATATGAGAATCTGTGACTATCAAGATAGCCTTCTATATAATTGAGACAAATAAAGCTAATGCAAAGTGATTTTAAATATAATACAATTGCCCTCGGCATATTTCTTTGAAGAATAAAAGCGTTATGTTATGAGAAAATAAACAACAAAGTTACCTTATCTATCCTGTCCATTAGTTCTCTAGCTTTAGTTAGTAGTAAGTTTCGTTTTTGAATCTTTTCCAAAAGCAAAGCGCTCGTTCGTCTCAGTTCTTCGCATTTTGATTCTATGTGGTCGACTTGACTTAACGGGTCTTGCATCAATTGCTCTCCTAAAGAAAAAATTAAGGGTTAATAAAACGTTTTCGAATATTTTAATAAAACACTAGCCGAAAATTGGACTGTTCAGGTATTTTTCATAACATTAAGCAAAACTGTACTTAATTGAGAATTAAAATAAATAAAAGACGAATAAAATCACAAATTAATTAATGTTAATTATTCATAACAAAATACAATACTTTTTTTACCAAGGAAAACAAATGTTAGTCCATTTAATTTAAATTTCGAACATTCATTTTTTTTTTCTATTAGATGCCTTGTAGTTTGTAGCCTGCCAAATAGTGAATTGGACGATTTTGTAAAAAGATTACAATTTACAAATATTAATTATGTATGAAAAGAAATATTCCGTAACCATACTAATAACTTACCGTCGTCAATGACTGAGGTTGCAGTATCGAGATCACAGTTACATAGTTTTTCAAAGTCGCCAGCCTCTTGTAGAAGGCTGTCTACCCTGTTTGCTGTCTCGCCCACCTCCGTCATGTCGCATGCTGCTTTTAGATGGTTGTCTAAAGTAGCCTAAAATCAAATAAATTTTATAAGTATTTAAATATCTCCTTCAAAAAACCAGTAGTGAAAGAAAGAAATTTCGCTAATTCCAGAAAAAGTAAACAAGGAGGCTGTATAGCTATCAACAATTTAATATGAAAAAAAAAGAAAACATGATTATAACTCGGTATGGATCTGTAAAAAAAATATTTGACATATAGATAGATTATTTTAGAAATAAGAAATGTAAGCTTAGAATTAAAATAAGATTAATAATTCATTATTTAATATTATATTCCTGTGATGAAAAATATTATATACAATAATGGCTATGGAAATTGTGTGCAACTTTCGTAAATGCAGAAAGTCTTTATCAAATCAAGCGTGGGTAACTACATGTTCGCACGCATTTTGTGTTGAACACGGAAAACGTGAATTTAAACGAACTGCTGAAAACTCATTGACCTGTCCGGCTTGTGGGACTGAGTTACGAGATAAGTTTGATGTTATACAAGCGGATTTGAGGCCCAATGAAACTTTCAAGTCGATAGTTCTAGCTGGCATGAGACCAGATACAATTATGGACATTGCTATGCGGGCGATGTCATTTTGGGCGTACCAGGTTGAACAGGAAACATTATATCAAGAGAGCGTAGCGAAACACGCGAGGGAGAAACTGCAGTGTATGGAAGAAATAAACACATTAAACATTCAGAAACTAAAAGCTGAACTGGAGACTTGTAAAAGGAAGATTGCTAATTTACAAACGGAGTGTAACAAGAAGTCGAAGCAAGCTGAGGAGTTTAAAGCTCGTTTGGAGGATAAAACGAGAAAAATACAGAAGTTAACATTTCAACTGGACGCTCAGAAACGAAAGGATATTCGAAACTTTGATGGTATGGAGAGTAAAGAGAAATGTATGGATATTTCGGACTTGGTCGTCAACAGGGCGGTTTCAGATTTGGTGGAACATCGGTCTTCTGACTTCGTGTTTCGACCGGCTAAAGACCCTGATGAATCGCATCGTGTGTGTTCACCAAGAACACCTATGTTTGACTTTCGGAACAAAAATAAACAGGTATCGCATTTCCATTTTAGACCAGTAAAATCTTAACAACAATTAAGAGTAAACTTGATTTCTTTGTAATTACAAAGCGTCTCTAATCTAATTAGATTAAGCGTAATTAGTTAAGTACCTGCATTTGTTTAAAGTTCAATAAAAATGTTCTGAATTTAAGCCAATGGTTTAGCTTCGTGGAATGTTTTTGCCAGAAGTTGTCGAATTGTTTCTCAGTCTCATCCAGTTGCACCAGTAATCTGGAATTAAATAAAAGTCTTTTAGTTGTCATCTGACATGATATAAGAAGCATGGATAAGTTACTTGATTAATTACCGAATTACTTATTATTTTAATTTTAGATAAATAGCTATTAAAAGGGATAATACGATTTTTAAACTGACAGTTACAAAATCCGACGTTAAAAATTAGTTCTAAAGATAATGATAAACAAGACTGATTGTCGTAAAACAATATTGAATTGTTAGATAAAGCTGAAATTTATGATAATTAAGTATCTATTTGTCCCAAAATGGCGTAAGAGTCTTACCTTTCAACTGCAGCAACATGGCTGATAATATTATAAGTAAGGTTTGGTTTCCGTACTTGCGTCAGCAACTCTTCGCCTTGCGACGTTGCAGACGCCAGTTCTGTTTTTAAAGCTTTATACCTGAAACGAAAATAGCATTTAAATTGTATCATTCAGATTCAACTTCAGAATGGTCATAGGCCATATTATTACGCTATAGTAAACAGAGCAAATATAGGAATAAATTAAGAATAACGTTAATTAATTGTACCGGGCACAATTCCATATACTCTGTGCTACTTTTGAAATTAAAAAAATACCCAGTAATAGCCGAAAAAAATCCCCGACTGATGAAATTCCCAATTCCCTTCCCAGGAAAAAAATTCCTGGGAATCGAACCCGAGACCCCTTGCCCAGTAGTCGCACTTGCGTCTACTCAGCCAACGACGCAGTCGTTACTCATTAAACCAATAGTAGAATAGTCCGCAATAAATAAACAATCTGACCCAATTATCACGGTAATCCACTGAATTCCACTATCACTCACCTATTTTCCTGACAGTCTAATAAATCTTTGGTTTGTGTCGGGTCGTTCCCCATATCGCAGTCCACAATTTCATGCATGAACTCGTCCAGTTTACTTGAGATTTCCTTCATTAATGTAGAAAACTTCTCTAGTGCCTGAAACACACATTTCAATATTTATTATTGTTGTTCAACTGCAATCATCATAAAAATCAAGCTAAATTTTGTTGCTCTTAATGTATTCAAATTACTACATAAAATTACACACTCGACTAATTATTTCAGGTAATTGTTCTCAGTATTTCATACAGGCGATCGGCGCTGTATGAAATTTCCCATATTTCCACACATTTAATTCAGTGCGCAAGGATAAACATCATTGAACAATTTGAACAGAATTGAACTTTCCAGTTTCTTGAACGTGAAAAACTTTGATAGCGCGATTTAGACACATGACGTTACGTCGCACGAAACTAGATGTCGCTAGTGTCGATAGCTTTATATATTCCAAGAAACTGGAGCTTCGTATACGTAAATTAATGACGTTTAAGTAAATTCACGTAACAAATAGGTTAAAAATGATATTAAACTTTAATTAATATCAACTTACTATTCGCTGTTGTATCCATTCAGCATGTGAATATTGTAGGTCTCCACCGAGATCTGCCGTCAATTGTGACCTATCAAAGTGCTCATACAGCTCCTCAACCGAAGAACAGACTAGCACCCTGAATCGGAACTCCTCCTTAAATAATTTACTACTGACTTCTGACAATGCCTTCTGTAGGAAGCTAGCTGGTCGAAGTACATAAACTGCGTGAATTATTCCTGGGAAGAATTCCTGTAAAAGAAAAAAAAGAGTATTATTATTTTTTGTAGTCATGACACTGGCGAGTTTCTGAGGGAAAATAGCAGTTCATAAATATAGGAATTTTGATGTTGTAATCAATTAGTTAAATGGTTATACGAAATAGTTAAATTCTGGATTTTTCATCACACCGTGACCCACTTTGGATTACGTATTTGTGTATTTCATTGCGTAACACAACATATTTCTTACTTCTTCTTATGCTTTCGTGAATGATATAGCACAGTCATTTAATAATTGTATCCGCACGAATTTGAAGCGAGCCATCTTGCCTTACTTACCCCAAAGACATATCTATATTACTGAGATTTACGAAAACTAAACCTTTATTATTTTCAACCAAATTTGGGGAAATCTATGTACCTATGTAACAAACATTGAATAAGTAAATAGGTATGGTTCCTTTAGAACGTATCTATCATAATCATATTCTAAGCATCATCCTATTCTATCAGTACTTAATTCTTATTGCCAGATATAGAACACACTAAACTAAAACAAATAGCCTCTGAATACTTACTGAGATCCTTAATAATACTGTTTTGACAGAATTCCATCGATCTTTCCTTCTGTCTATTATAATGTGGAAGCCCATGTCTGCCTCCAATAACCTGTAACGAGAGAGAAATATCCATTAGTAATGAAACTGTATATCGATCGGTATCCTAAGTATTTAGTTAACAATCAGTTATTAATGCCGTCTGGTATCGATTCTCTTGGACTATGGTAATAAATATTCTATCACAATAGTATTATGGTGGAGTTTCTATTACGAGCTTAGGAACGACCTTCACGGCAAGTTCATGGTAGGTTGAAAGAATCTTGCGTTAATGGTGATTTTAGGACAAGTCTAATGTAGTTTTGGTAATGTATCTTGATTTAGTCTCTAGCATTTGAAGATATCATGCCTGTTTAAACATTTCTATGCTTACTAAGTTCTGGGTTCTGCTTCTGCTTCATTGGCCGAGTGACTGCCTCGTTGGCCGAGTGGTCGCAAGCGCGACTGCCGGCAAGGTGTCTCGGGTTCGATTCTCAGGTCGGGCAAAATATTACTGGGTTTTTAAAAATCTCAGTAGTATCACGGAGTCTGGAAATGTGCCCGGTATATGGCAATAGGCTCACCCCCTATTACATGGTACTCATAACATAAATAGTGAAAACTGAGTGTTAGATTGTACAGTGGCATTAAGTGCCGAAATGTGCACCTCTGCCTACGAGAATAAAAGGATTGATTCGTGATGTTATGTTATGAAATTATTACCTCTAGTATAGCACTCCACAATTTTAATGTTCACTTTTAAATAGAGCTCCCGGGAGTGTAAACAACCTATTAATCTGTATGTCAGCGTGTGGTAAGCCGTTGAATTCGTGCTGCATGATTTTTGTGGTTTTGAACCGTTTACCCTAAGGGCAGGTAGGTCGTAGGTCAGATCTGTGTACTTTTCTTTTGCCAGGTTTTACTACTGAGACTGAGGTTTATTTTATTTAAAACATAAAGGCTGAAACTATTAAACGTTTTTTCATTTAGAGGTAATGATCAAGTTCATGACTCATCTCATGTGCCGTACTAGAAGCCTGGCCATATACAGTTGTGACAGAAATAGGCTGCAGGCTCATGATAATGATGAAAACTAATAAAATTTCGTACTTAGAAAAGAACTTCGCATTCGGTAAGTCATGATAACGACGCTTGCACAATATAAGTACCTAAATAATAAAATTTTGACTCTGTATTGGAGCAGAGTTAAATGAAACGTAAAGAATCTCCGTAGGTGGTCCACTCTTATTGAGCGCATTAAGTACAATATTACAAAATGAAATAGTTAAATAACAAATGATTGAGGATTAATAAAAGTGTTTTAGGAAAGTACCCTAAGTGACTAATGTTTATCGTTTGAATCCCCAAGCGAATCTAAAATGTCATCGAAAAAAGAACCAGATGAATAAGAAAAGACAAGATAAGAAGAATAAGAATTAGAAAAGTTAGAATCTTTCTAACCCTTTACAGGTTCTATATTAGACCTTAGTGTAATATATTAGACCCAAAGAGTATAATAAGTTTTTATAGGGGAATGAGGTCTACTCATAGGTAATTTGTTGATAAATTCTATAATCCATATTTATTTTCCATACAGTTTGAATTACCACAAAGTCCTTTAGTACATCATTACAATGCCACTCGTGTGAACTGAAGTGGAATGTCGCAGTCTAGACGAAGTTCAGGAGATTGTCTTCCAATCTATTGTTATAGGACTATAATATTATTATAACTATTGTACACTACATAGGTACATCTGCTATGATAACATAGTACAGGCAAGATAGCAATGTAAACATCACTTCGTAGTAGTCTCTACGTACTATCATTGTAGTACGTAGGGTGTATAAATACCATCTCATTAGATATACATGATTTGATACTACATTGAATCAGACCAATTAAACTGTCAAACACCAAGCGGTCACCGGTGACCGCAACCTATTCTTCTTTAATTGTGTCTATAAATACGGTACTTGACGAGTTAAGCATTATAGTCAAATTGAATTATACAAACAGTCCTAGGATTTTTACTTTACATTCCCTGTAAGTAGACCAATCGAACCGATCTGTTAAACATCTGTTGAATATCAAAATGCTACCATGTTTAAAAGGTCAAAGACAATAAGTCAAATAGGTATAAAAATCGGAAACAGAACTATATACAAGCTTAAATGACATGACACCGTACTATGTCCATGTAATCACCGTAGCCACCTGACTGAAGTGACGATATGAAATGGGTCAAGCACCAAACTGACACGTTGGTATTGCCTACTCGGTAGAGAGGAAATGTGGGATGAAATACTCCTATTATTGACTGTCTGTCCCCGTGTCCTATCATGACAGACTTTATACTGTATACTATTCAAATGTGACATGTGGTAAAGAAGTATAAGAAAAATTTGTTTTTAGCACTGAATAAACTGCTATAGGTATAAAAATACAGTACTTTCTAGAAAGGTATTACCGCGTCAATCTGTAGCTGATCAATATAGTTTTAAATCAAGATACTCACGAGGGCACAGAGGTGAGGTAAAGCAGCAGCCGTCGGTACTCTGAGGGTGTGATGATGTGGAAGTTGTTGTTGTCGGGAAAGGTGATGAGGGGGCGATGGTCCCTGGCCAGTCCTCCCGTCGCCAGCGCGTACTGCGGTAGCAGCAGCTCGCTGACATTGCGACCCTCGTCTCCATCGCCGCAGCCATCGCACTCCGCTTCTGTCAAAAATACAGTCCATTAAGAGCTTCCTATTTAATAAATAATTGTTTTGATTTAAGAAACATTCATGTTAAGTATTTACCCTACTAATTGAATACTACGAATTTTTAAGAAATAAAAATTAAATTATTCTTATCTTTTTACGATAATAATCATTTATTTATTTATTTCATTTATCGCATTGGGCATTAACCTGTAAAGATAAGTAAGTAAGTGTAAGTGGAATAAATAAATAAATAGGTAAATAAATAATTACAGTCTTCTACTAGAAGGAGCTAGCTAGCGGTTCAATATACTTGAGAGTATCTAATAAACACATAAAAACACTCAAATACTCTCAGATCTTTGTAATATACTTAATAAGTTAACCTCGGCCAACAGCTTTTTTAATACTTATTCACTTTTTAAATGCTTAAAGATAACGCTAGGTAGAGCAATAATTGCGTAGAGTGTTCACTAATTACACTGGTCTACATCAAAATTGCCTTTTACATGAAAATATATTATATTGATTGTATTCCACTCGCTGAACATAAATATACAAGTTAAAATTCATAGTTAGCTCTTATTGTGCATTTATGCCATATAAATATAATAGCGGGTAGCGCGACAGATATATCACATTAATGATGATAACTTAAAATATTTAGTGATTACCCGCGGAAATTTTATTATTTCACATTTGTTTGTTGCGTTTAACGCTGACTGTGTTTTATTCAACAGTTAAAACGTGAAATTGTTACCGTTTTTTTTTACATTTTTAGTGAAAAATCTACAGTTTTCGTTATGTCGCGTAAATGTGTTAATAGTGCAGACAATTTTTGCTACATTTGTGGTAAGGTGACCCTTACTAACCAAAGATGCTCAATACTCAACGTTTAGAAACTGCTTACTTCCATTATTTTGGAATTATTAAAAACCAAAACAAATCGTGGGTACCACATTTTAGTTGCACAACTTGCTCCACAAATCTGATTAAGTGGCTAAACAAAAAGAAACGTTCATTGCCTTTTGGTGTACCAATGATGTGGAGGGAACCTACCAATCATGCGAATGACTGTTACTTTTGCTTGACTCCACCCATCCAGCACGGTATATCACGAAAAAAGAAACGAAGCGTAGTATACCCTGACGTAGCCTCTGTATCGCGACCTGTACCACACGGAATCGATTTACCTGTTCCTCGACCTCCCGAAGAATACCAGGAAGATTCTGAAGAAGCGATGATTTCAATGGAAGTTGACTACAATGAGCCTACAGCCTCACAATCGTCAGAGTTTGTGGGTGACAATATTGTTTCTGACGAACCTCATAGAGTTTCGCAAGATGAACTCAGCGACCTTATACGAGACTTAAATTTATCAAAAGATAAAGCGGAATTACTAGGATCGAGACTTAAGCAATGGAATTTGCTTCAACCGGATGTCAAAATCAGTTTATACAGATATCGTCAGAAGAACTTGATACCCTATTTCAAATCCGAAAACCAGCTTGCATTCTGTAATAACGTAAATGGCTTGATGAACGCTTTGAACATTGAATACCATCCACAGGAATGGCGGCTGTTTATAGACTCCTCAAAATTGAGTTTAAAAGCTGTTCTTCTCCATAATGGTAACACACAACCATCGATTCCGTTATGCTATGCTGTGCATACTAAAGAAACATACGAAAATATGAAATTAATTCTAGATGCTATATCATACTCAGAGCACGAATGGCAGATTTGTGGTGATCTAAAAGTCATAGCAATTGTTGGGTTACAAATGGGCTATACCAAGTACTGTTTGTTTTTTGTGCGAATGGGATAGTCGGCTAATCTTTACATTACATAAAAAAGATTGGAATCCTAGACTAAGCCTGAATCCTGAGAAAAAGAACGTCAAGCACCTTCCTCTAGTTAATTCCCAAAAAATTCTTCTACCACCTTTACATATCAAATTGGGACTAATGAAAAACTTTGTGAAGGCTCTCAACAAAGATGGACCAGCATTCAAATACCTGCAAAGTAAATTTCCACGTATAAGCGACGCTAAAATTAAAGAAGGAATCTTTATCGGACCTCAAATAAGAGAGATTCTAAAGGACCAAAACTTTGATTCAGTTTTACAGGGCTTTGAAAAAGAAGCATGGGAATCTTTCAGAGCAGTAATTCATGGTTTTTGGGCAATAAGAGAAATGAAAATTATGCTGAACTTGTGAACAATCTCCTTCAAAAGTATCAACAGTTGGGTTGCAATATGTCCCTAAAAATTCATTTTCTTCATTCTCATCTTGATTTTTTCCCTTCTAACTGCGGTGATGTAAGTGACGAACATGGTGAACGATTCCACCAAGATATCTCGACAATGGAAAAGAGATACCAGGGCCGATGGGATGCGTCAATGTTAGCGGACTACTGCTGGAATTTGAAAAGAGATACCCCTAACAGTGATTACAAAAGACAAACGAAAAAGAGAAGAAAATCTTAAATAAATACGTTATTTTTCTTTTTAATTGTAATATTTCCAATTTTATATAAGTAAAAAGCAAAAAATAATAGTAAATAATTATTATAGTTTTTTTTAATAAAATATTTTGTACTTTAACGTGTTACTAGAAGTCAAATTTTGTATATTAGGTATATTTCCAAAATAAGAGCTAATTAAAAAAACATATTCTTGTTTTTCTATTCAGTAACCTTAAAGCAATATAAAAATAAAGTATTCAATTGAAAGGCACACAAAAAGTTACATTTTGTAGACCAGTGTTACCTAGCCGCTTAGGTTAATTTATTAATCATTTAAAAATATAATATCCCGTTGACTAATGAGTTCGTCAAGTTTAAAGAGTTAGCCGCTCTAACGAGTTAACTTGGAGGATTTCGTTTAGCTCCGAGTTAAGCAGACTTAAATCAGCTCGTAGTGGGAAAAGTTCACTTCATTAGAGTTTCCATAAAATCCACAATTTTCCGCAGAGGAATGCGGATCATCAAATATTTATAGCGTACAAAATGAAAATGGAACATGCGATTCCCAAAAGTAAAGAAATATCTAAACGAGAAAACTATATAAATCTGCGTATCTACGTTACCCGATTCCGGTCGGATCCTTCCTTTGTGTAATCAACGAGAACTTTTAACCTTCCACGTTTTAATAATCCGAGCAAAGAATAATGAAAATAATGGACAAATTAATAATAACTAACCTTCAACCTCGGAGTCGACTTGGAGGAGGTATTTTAATAAATTATACCAATTTATCCTTGCAGCAAATCGCTGTGTAAGCAATCTGAATAAAGTTACTTACAAAAAGCGCGATTGCGTGATCCCTAACGATTAATTATATGGAACAGGTACCTAAGAACTTAAGGTAGAACATGGCGGATTTATCAAGATGGATATACGGGAGTTTATTTAATGTGAACGTTGCTTACTTCTCGGTCACCCAATAATAGCGTCGTAAAATGTAACCAAGGTAAGGAGGAACAATGATTTGCGTATTTTGTCGCATGCCTCGCTGTAATAATCGTGATAACGTCGTAAGAAAATTACCCGCGGTTGACCGAAAGGTTTAATGTGAAGTAATTTTGCAGTAAAGTAACAATCATAATTATTGAGCTCTATTCTAACCTTGATTTATGATACAATTATTTGTAAGAAAGAAAAAAGGGTTGAAAGAAAAATGAAAAAGTTGCAAAGCAATGTTCTGCTGTTGGCTTATTTAACAATGCAGTCATAATACTGCCCATTGCAAAATCGACGTAGTAGCGACGCAAATACTGTGAAATGCTGGATCAGAGGTGGATTATCCCAATAGGTACAGGTATATCACAGAGCTTTAGAGTAACACAACAAATGAACACCTGAATGGCGTCCATTTGCGTGATTGCTGGATTATTGTGTCACGATTTCGAGACCAACCTCCTATGACAATTTTGGAGCAATACGCAAAGCTACATATTCAAATAACGCCACAAAATCACGTTAAGCGACAAAATTAAGTTTCGATTTTGAAGAAAAAGAATATGTCGATATTGCTTTACAACACCATAAGAGCTAAAGGTTTCATTAAAAGTAAAAATATTAATATAAACAAATAGTGAAATATTCACGAAACCTGCACAATAAAGAATATTCTCTTGATTGTGACCATCCGAGCTCTGGTAACGAAATTAATGTTTACACACTTGACTTGCTAAAGAGGAATTTTCGTCAGTTCTTTACAATTTTCCAGCTGGTTACCTCACCAGAATGGTTTAAACGCAAAGATTTCTTTATTCTTTAGTAGTTAAGCATCAGCTTCACTTTCAGGTTCACTCGTAAAAATGTTAAGAATATTTTATTCCAAGGTTCGTTGAACTTTCGTAACTAAGTCTTTTGTAATTCTGTTGCTTTTCTTAGCTCTAATTAAGTACCTGGTTTAGTATTCTTACCACAAGTTTTCTTTATAGCATTTTGCGTTAAAAGGCCTAGAATAGTAGGTATGGATGCCGAATTCGCAAAAGCACGGGACTTGAACTTATTACGTAGACAGGCGATGAAATAAGGGCAACCTAATTTTACAAGAATACTCAAATTAGGCCGGAACAACGGTATCTCAGAATAGGAATAATCCACGTAGGTAGGATACAGAAAGTATAAGAATATACAGATACAGACTGTATAATTTATAAATGTTTGAACAATTAATGGGTTATTTATTTAAATAAGATTATTTTTTTAATTTAATCAAAGGCACTTAGAACTAGAACCTTTTTTAGTAATTAATTGAACTTAATTAAATCAACATACACTACAGTCATTACTGGCAATAAGCCAATCGTTTACGTTATTATAAATTAAAAAATAAATAGATTTAAATGTGGTAACCAAGCCTATACACACTAAAGAATATCTCTTTTCGACTTCAAAGGTTCATTTACCCAATTTATCCCCAGTAAGCATTAGACAACCATAGCGAACCAATGGTTCGCTAACTAGATCTTGGTACCTGAGGTACATTGTAAACTAGGTACTAGT